TCCAGGAGCTTGCCTGGTCCGGAAGCTTGCCTGGTCCAGGAGCTTGCCTGGTCCACGAGCCTGCCTGGTCCAAGGGCTTGCCTGGTCCAAGAGCGTGCATGGTCCACGAGCGTGCCTGTTCGAGCAGCTTGCGTGGTCCACGAGCTTGCCTGGTCCAGGAGCTTGCCTGGTCCTAAAGCTTGCTTGGTCCAGAAGCCTGCCCGGTCCAAGAGCTTGCGTGGTCCAGGAGCGTGCCTGGTCCAAGAGCTTGCGTGGTCCAGGAGCTTTCGTGGTCCAGAAGCTTGCCTGGTCCAGGAGCTTGCCTGGTCCAGGAGCTTGCCTGGTCCAGGAGCTTGCCTGATCCAGGAGCTTGCCTGGTCCACGAGACTTCCTGGTCCAAGAGCTTGCCTGGTCTAGGAGCTTGCCTGGTCCAGGAGCTTGCCTGGTCCACGAGCCTTCGTGGTCCAAGAGCTCGCCTGGTCCAATAGCGTGCATGGTCCACGAGCGTGCCTGGTCCAGGAGCTTGCCTGGTCCAGGAGCTTGCCTGGTCTAGGAGCGTGCCTTGTCCAAGAGCGTGCCTGGTCCAGGAGCTCTGGTCCACGAGCTTGCCTGGTCCAGGAGCTTGCCTGTTCCAGGAGCGTGCCTGGTCCACGAGCTTGAAGGGTCGAGGAGCTTGCTTGGTCTAGGAGCTTTCCTGGTCCATCAGCATTCCTAGTTCAAGAGCTTGCGATGTCCAGGAGCTTGCCTGGTCCAGGAGCTTGCATATTCCAGGAGCTTGCCTAGTCCAGGAGCTTGCCTGGTCCAAGAGTTTGCCTGGTCCGCAAGCGTGCCTGGTCCAAGAGCTCGCTTGGGCCAGAAGCTTGCCTGGTCCAGGAGCTTGCCCAGTCCAAGAGCTTGCATGGTCCACGAGCTTGCCTGGTCCAGGAGCATGCCTGGTCCAGGAGCATGCCTTGTCCAGGAGCATGCCTGGTCCAGGAGCATGCGTGGTCCAGGAGCTTGCCTGGTCCAGGAGCTTGCATGGTCCAAGAGCTTGCCTGGTTTAGGAGCTTGCCTAGTCTAGGAGCTTGCCTGGTCCAAGAGCTTGCCTGGTCCAGGAGCTTGCCTGGTCAAAGAGCTTGCCAAGTCCAAGAGCATGCCTGGTCCAAGAGCTTGTCTGGTCCAGGAGCTTGCCTGGTCCACGAGCTTGCCTAGTCCAGGTGCTTGCCTGGTCCACAAGCTTGCCTGGTCCAGGTGCTTGTCGGGTCCAGGAGCTTGCTTGGTCTAGGAGCGTGCCCGGTCCGGGAGCGTGCTTGGTCCAGGAGCTTGCCTAGTCCAGGAGCTTGCCTGGTCCAGGAGCTTGACTGGTCCAAGAGCTTGCCTGGTCGAGGAGCTTGCCTGGTCCAGGAGCTTGCCTTGTATTGGAGCTTGCATGGTCTGGGAGCTTCCCTGGTCAAGGAGTTTGCCTGGTCCAGGAGCTTGCTTGGTCCAGGAGCTTGCCTGGTCCATGAGCGTGCCTGGTATAGGAGCGTGCCTGGTCCAGGATCTTGCCTGGTAGAGGAGCTTGCCTAGTCCAGGAGCTTGCCTGGTCCAGGAGCGTGCCTGGTCGACGAGCTTGCCTAGTCCAGAAGCTTGCCTAGTCCACAAGCTTGCCTGGTGAAGGAGCTTGCCTGGTCCATGAGCTTGCTTGGTCCAGGAGTGTTCCTGGTCCAGGAGTGTGCCTGGTCCAAGAACTTGCCTGGTCCAAGAGCTTGCCTGGTCAAGGAGCTTGCCTCGTCCAAGAGCTGGCCTGGTCCAGGAGCTTGCCTGGTCCAAGAGCTTGCCTGGTCCACGAGCTTGCCTGGTCCAGGAGCTTGCTTGATCTAGGAGCCTGGCTAGTCCAGTAGCTTGCCTGTTCCAGAAGCGTGCCTGGTCCAAGAGCTTGCCTTGTCCAGGAGCTTGCCTGGTCCAACACCTTGCCTGGTCCAAGAGCTTGCCTCGTCTAGGAGCTTGCCTGGTCCAAGAGTGTGCCTCGTCCAGGAGCTTGCTTGTTCCAGAAGCTTGCGAGGTCCAAGAGCTTGCCTGGTTCAGGAGCGTGCCTAGTCCAAGAGCTTGCCTGGTCTAGGAGCTTGTTTAGTCCAGGAGCGTGCCTGGTCCACGAGCTTGCCTGTTCAAGGAGCTTGCCTTGTCCAGGAGCTTGCCTGGTCCAGGAGCTTGCCTGGTCAAGGAGCTGGCCTGGTCCAGGAGCTTGCCTGGTCCAAGTGCTTGCCTGGTCCAAGAGCTTGCGTGGTCTAGGAGCTCGCCTAGTCCAGGAGCTTGCCTCGTCCATGTGCGTGCCTGGTCCACGAGTTTGCTTGGTCCAGGAGCTTGCCTGGTCCAGGAGCTTGCCTGGTCCAGGAGCGTGCCTTGTCCTAGAGCTTGCGTGTTCCAGGAGGGTGTCTGCTCCTGGAGCTTGCCTTGTCCAGGAGCTTTCTTGGTCCATTAGCTTGCCTGGTCCAGGAGCTTACTTGGTCCAGGAGCTTTCCTGGTCCAAGAGCTAGCCTGGTCCAGGAGCTTGCCTGGTCCAGGAGCTTGCATGTTCCAAGAGCTTGCCTGGTCTAGGAGCATGCCTGGTCCAAGAGCTTGCCTGGTCCAAGAGCTTTCCTGGTCTAGAAGCTTGCCTGGTCCACGAGCTTGCCTTGTCGAGGAGCTAGCTTGGTCCTGAAGCCTGCCTGATCCAAGAGCTTGCCTGGTCCAATAGCGTGCCTGGTCCAAGAGCTTGCGTGGTCCACGAGCTTGCCTGGTCCAGCAGCTTGCCTGGTCGAAGAGCGTGCCTGGTCCACGAGCTTGCGTGGTCCAGGACCTTGCCTGGTCTAGGAGCTTGCCTGGTCCAGGAGCGTACCTGGTCCACGAGCTTGCCTGATCCAGGAGCGTGCGTGGTCCAGGAGCTTGCCGGGTACAAAAGCATGCCTAGTTCACGAGCTTGCCTGGTCCAGGAGCTTGTTTGGTCCAGGAGCTTGCTTGGTCCAGAGCCTGCCTGGTCCAAGAGCTTGCCTGGTCCAGGACTATGCCTAGTCCAAGAGCTTGTGTGGTCTAGGAGCTTGCCTGGTCCATAAGCGTGCCTGGTCCAGGAGCTTGCCTGGTCCCGGAGCTTGCCTGGTCCCGGAGCTTGCGTTGTCTAGGAGCTTGCCTGGTCCAGGAGCTTGCCTGGTCCAAGAGCTTGCCTTGTCCAAGAGCTTGCGTGGTCCAGGAGCTTGCCTGGTCTAGGAGCTTGCCAGGTCCAGGAGCTTGCCTGGTCAAGGAGGTTGCCTTGGCCAGGAGCTTGCCTGGTCCAGGAGCGTGCCTGGTCTACGAGTTTGCCTGGTCCAGAAGCTTGCCTGGTCCAGGAGCTTGCCTGGTCTAGGAGCTTGCATGGTCCAGGAGCGTGCCTAGTCGAGGAGCTTGCCTGGTCCAGGAGCTATCCTGGTCCAGAAGCTTGCCTGGTATAGGAGCTTGCCTGTTCCAGGAGCGTGCCTGGTCCAGTAGCTTGCCTTCTCCAGGAGCTTTCTTGGTCCGTTAGCTTGCCTCGTCCAAGAGCTTGCCTGGTCCAGGAATTTTCCTGGTCCAAGAGGTTGCCTGGTCCAGGAGCTTGCTTGGTCTAGGAGCTTGCCTGGTCCAGGAGCGTGCCTGATCCACGAGCTTGCCTGGTCCAAGAGCGTGCCTGGTCCAGTAGTGTGCCTGGTCCATGAGCGAGCCTGGTCCAAGAGCTTGCCTGGTCCTGGAGCTTGCCTGGTCCAGGAGCTTGCGTGGTCCAGGAGCTTGCCTTGTCCACGAGCCTGCCTGGTCCAAGAGCTTGCCTGGTCCAGGAGCGTGCATGGTCCACGAGCGTGCCTCGTCTAAGAGCTTGCCTGGTCCAGGAGCTTGCCTGGTCAAGGAGCTTGCCTGGTCCAGGAGCTTGATTGGTCCACGAGCCTGCCTGGTCCAAGAGCTTGCCTGGTCCAAGAGCATGCATGGTCCATGAGCGTGCCTGGTCCAGGATCTTGCCTGGTCCAGGAGCTTGCCTGTTCCAGGAGCTTGCCTTGTCCAAGAGCTTGCTTGGTCCAGAAACCTGCCCAGTCCAAGAGCTTGCTCGGTCCAATAGCATGCCTGGTCCACGAGCGTGCGTGGTCCAGGAGCTTGACTGGTCCAGGAGCTTGCATGGTCCAGGAGCTTGCCTTGTCCAAGAGCTTGCTTGGTCCCAGAAACCTGCCCAGTCCAAGAGCTTGCGTGGTCTAGGAGCTTGCCTGGTCGAGGACCTTGCATGGTCCAGGAGCTTGCCTGGTCCAGGAGCTTGCCTGGTCCAATAGCTTGCGTGGTCTCGGAGCTTGCCTGGTCCACGAGCTTGCCTGGTCTAGGAGCTTGCCTTGTCTAGGAGCTTGCCTGGTCCAGGAGCGTGCCTGGTCCACGAGTTTGCCTGGTCCAGGAGCTTGCCTGGTCTAGGAGCTTGCATGGTCTAGGAGCGTGCCAAGTCCCGGAGCTTGCCTGGTCCAGTAGCTATCCTAGTCTAGGAGCTTGCCTGGTCCAGGAGCTTGCCTGTTCCACGAGCGTGCCTGGTCCAGGAGCTTGCCTTGTCCAGGAACTTTCTTGGTCGATTAGCTTGTCCGGTCCAGGAGCTTGCCTGGTCCAGGAGCTTTCCTGGTTCAAGAGCTTGCCTGGTCTAGGAGCTTGCCTGGTCCAGGAGCTTGCCTGGTCCAGGAGCGTGCCTGATCCACGAGCTTGCCTGGTCCACGAGCGTTCCTGGTCCACGAGCGAGCCTGGTCCAGGAGCTTGCGTGGTTTAGGAGCTTGCCTGGTCCACGAGCCTGCTTGGTCCAAGAGCTTGCCTGGTCAAGGAGCGTGCATGGTCCGCGAGCGTGCCTGGTCCAGGAGCTTGCCTGGTATAGGAGCTTGCGTGATCAAGGAGCTTGCCTGGTCCACGAGCTTGCCTGGTCCAAGAGCTTTCCTGGTCCACGAGCCTGCCTGGTCCAAGAGCTTGCCTGGTCCAGGAGCTTGCCTGGTCCAGGAGCTTGCGTGGTCCAAGAGCTTGGTCGAGAAGCCTGCCTGCTCCAAGAGCTTCCCAGGTCCAGGAGCATGCCTGGTCCAAGAGCTTGGGTAGTCCAGGCGCTTGCCTGGTCCAGGAGCTTGCCTAGTCCAGGAGCTTGCCTGGTCCAGGAGCTTGCCTGGTCCAAGAACTTGCCTGGTCCAAGAGCTTGCCTGGTCTAGGAGCTTGCCTGGACGTGGACGTGGACGTGAACGTAGGACGTGGACGTGGACGTGGACGTGGTCGTGGACGTGGACCTGGACGTGGACATGGACGTGGACGTGGACGTGGACCTGGACGTGGACGTGGACGTGGACGTGGACTGGACGAGGACGTGGACGGTGGTCGTGGACGTGGACGTGGACGTGGACGTGGACGTGGACGACATGGACATGGACATGGACGTGGACGTGGACGTGGACGTGGACATGGAGGTGGACGTGGACGTGGACATGGAGGTGGACGTGGACGTGGACGTGGACGTGGACGTGGACATGGACGTGGACGTGGACGTGGACATGGACGTGGACATGGACGTGGACATAGACGTGGACATGGACGTGGACATGGACGTGGACATGGACGTGGACGTGGACGTGGACGTGGACCCTGGACGTGGACATGGACGTGGACATGGACGTCGACATGGGACATGGGACATGGACATGGACATGGACGTGGACGTGGACGTGGACATGGACGTGGACGTGGGACGTGGACGTGGACGTGGACATGGACGTGGACATGGACATGGACGTGGACGTGGACATGGACGTGACATGGACATGGACGTGGACATGACATGGACGTGGACGTGGACGTGGACGGTGGACGTCGGACGTGGACGTGGACGTGGACGTGGACGTGGACGTGGACATGGACGTGGACATGGACGTGGACGTGGACGTGGACATGGACATGGACGTGGACATGGACGTGGACGTGGATATGGACGTGGACCGTGGGACGTGGACGTGGACGTGGACGTGGACGTGGACGTGGTCGTGGACGTGGACGTGGACATGGACGTGGACATGGACATGGACATGGGACGTGGAGGTGCACGTGGACGTGGACGTGGACGTGGACGTGGACGTGGTAGTGGACGTGGACGTGGACGTGGACGTGGACGTGGACGTGGACGTGGACGTGGACTTGGACGTGGACGTGGACGTGGTCGTGGACGTGGACGTGGACATGGACGTCGACATGGACGTGGACGTGGACATGGACCTGGACGTGGACCGTGGACGTGGTCGTGGATGTGGACGTGGACGTGGACATGGACGTGGACATGGACGTGTCGTGGACGTGGACGTGGTCGTGGACGTGGACTTGGACGTGGACGTGGACGTGGACGTGGACATGGACGTGGACGTGGACGTGGACGTGGACGTGGACTTGGACGTGGTTGTGGACGTGGACGTGGACATGAACGTGGACGTGAACGTGGACGTGGACGTGGACGTGGTCGTGGACGTGGACGTGGACGTGGACATGGACGTGGACGTGGTCGTGGACGTGGACGTGGACGTGGACTTGGACGTGGACATGGACGTGGACGTGGACGTGGACGTGGACGTGGACGTGGGCGTGGACGTGGACATGGACGTGGTCGTGGACGTGGGCGTGGACATGGACGTGGACGTGGTCGTGGACGTGGGCGTGGACGTGGACGTGGACATGGACGTGGGCGTGGACGTGGACGTGGACGTGGACGTGGACATAGACGTAAACGTGGACATGGACGTGGACATGGACGTGGGCGTGGACGTATGCGTGGACGTGGACGTGGACGTGGACGTGGACGTGGGCGTGGACGTGGACGTGGACATGACTGGACGTGGACGTGGACGTGGGTCGTGGACGTGGTCGTGGACATGGACGTGGACATGGACGTGACGTGGACATGGACGTGGACATGCACATGGACGGTGGACGTGGACATGGACATGGACATGGACGTGGACGTGGACGTGGACGTGGACGTGGTCGTGGACGTGGACGTGGACGTGGACGTGGTCGTGGTCGTGGACGTGGTCGTGGTCGTGGACGTGGACGTGGTCGTGGACGTGGACGTGGTCGTGGACGTGGACGTGGACGTGGACGTGGACATGGACGTGGACGTGGACGTGGACGTGGACGGTGGACGTGGACGTGGACGTGGACGTGGTCGTGGACGTGACGTGGACGTGGACGTGGACGTGGACCGTTGGACGTGGACGTGGACGTGGACGGGGACGTGGACGTGGACGCGGACGGGACGTGGACGTGGACGTGGACGTGGACAGGGACGTGGACGCGACGTGGACGTGGACAGGGACGTGACGCGGACGCGGACGTGGACAGGGACGTGGACGTGGACGTGGACGCGGACGTTGGACGGGGACGGGGACGTGGACGTGGACATGGACGTGGACGCGGGACGTGGACGCGGACAGGGACGTGGACGCGGAGGTGGGACGTGGACGTGGACGTGGACAGGGACGCGGACGTGGACGTGGACGTGGACCTGGACGTGGACGCGGACGTGGACGTGGACGGGGACGTGGAACGTGAACGTGGACGTGGACGCGGACGTGGACGCGGACGTGGACGTGGACAGGGACGTGGACGTGGACGTGGACAGGGACGTGGACGGACGTGGAACGTGGACGTGGACCTGGACGTGGACATGGACGTGGACGTGGACGTGGTCGTGGACGTGGGCGTGGACGTGGACGTGGACGTGGTCGTGGACGTGGACGTGGACGTGGACGTGGACATGGACATGGACGTGGACGTGGACATGGACCGTGGGCGTGGACGTGGACGTGGACGTGGACGTAGACGTGGACATGGACGTGGGCGTGGACGTGGACGTGGACGTGGACGTGGACGTTGACGTGGACGTGGACAGTGGACATGGACGTGGACGTGGACGTGGACATGGACATGGACATGGACGTGGAGCGTGGACGTGGACATGGACGTGGACGTGGACGTGGACATGGACGTGGACGTGGACGTGGACGTGGACGTGGACTATGGACGATGGACGTGGACGTGGACGTGGACGTGGACGTGGACGTGAACGTGGACATGGACGTGGACGTGGACGTGGACGTGGACGTGGTCGTGGACGTGGACGTGGACGTGGACATGGTCGTGGACGTGGACGTGGACGTGGACTTGGACGTGGACATGGACGTGGACGTGGACGTAGACGTGGACGTGGGCGTGGACGTGGACATGGACGTGGTCGTGGACGTGGGCGTGGGCGTGGACGTGGACATGGACATGGACATGGACGTGGACCTGGACGCGGACGTGGACGTGGACAGGGACGTGGACGCGGACGTGGACGTGGACAGGGGACGTGACGCGAACGTGGTACGTGGACGTGACGTGGACGTGGACGTGGAGGAACTTGGAACGTGGACGTGGACGTGGACGTGGACATGACGTGACGTGGACGTGGACGAGGACAGGGACGTGGACGCGGACCGTGGACGTGGACGTGGACGGGGACGTGGACGTGGAGGACTTGGACATGGACGTGGACGTGGACGTGGACGTGGACATGGGCATGGAGGTGGACGTGGAGATGGACGTGGACATGGAGATGGACGTGGACATGGACAAGGACGTGGACATGAACGTGGACGTGACGTGGACGTGGACGTGGACAGTGGACATGGACGTGGACGTGGACGTGGAACCGTGGACGTGGACGTGGACATGGATTAGGAGGTGGACGTGGACGTGGAAGTGGACGTGGACGTGGACGTGGACCTGGACGTGGACGTGGACATGGACGTGGACGTGGAGATGGACGTGGACATGACGTGGACGTGGAGGTGGACGTGGACGTGGACGTGGTCGTGGACGTGGATGTGGACGTGGACGTGGACATGGACGTGGACGTGGACGTGGACTTGGACGTGGTCGTGGACGTGGACGTGGACGTCGACATGGACGTCGACATGGACGTCGACATGGACCGACATGGACGTGGACGTGGACGTGGACATGGACGTGGACATGGACATGGACGTGGACATGGACGTGGACGGACGTGGACGTGGACGTGGACGTGGACGTGGACGTGGATATGAACGTGGACATGGACGTGGACGTGGACGTGGACTTGGACGTGGACTTGGACCTGGACGTGGACATGGACGTGGACATGGACGTGGACATGGACATGGACGTGGACGTGGACGTGGACGTGGACGTGGACATGGACATGGACATGGACATGGATGTGGACATGGACGTGGACGTGGACGTGAACGTGGAGTGGACATGGACGTGGACGTGGACATGGACGTGGACGTGGACGTGGACGTGGACGTGGACGTGGACGTGGACGTGGACATGGACGTGGACGTGGACGTGGACGTGGACTTGGACGTGGACGTGGCCGTGGACGTGGACTTGGACGTAAACGTGGACGTGGACGTGGACATGGACGTGGACGTGGACGTGGACGTGGACGTGGACATGGACATGGACATGGACGTGGACGTCGACATGGACGTGGACGTGGACGTGGACGTGGACATGGACGTGGACGTGGACATGGACGTGGACGTGGACGTGGACGTGGTCGTGGACGTGGACGTGGACGTGGACGTGGACATGGACGTGGACGTGGTCGTGGACGTGGACGTGGTCGTGGACGTGGTCGTGGACGTGGTGGACGTGGTCGTGGACGTGGACATGGACGTGGACGTGGTCGTGGACGTGGACGTGGACGTGGACGTGCACATGGACGTGGACGTGGACGTGGACGTGGACGTGGACGTGGTCGTGGACGTGGACGTGGACGTGGACATGGACGTGGACATGGACGTGGACATGGACGTGGACATGGACATGGACATGGACGTGGATGTGGATGTGCACGTGGACGTAGACGTGGACGTGGACGTGGACGTGGACATGGACGTGAACGTGGTCGTGGACATGGACGTGGACGTGGACATGGACGTGGACATGGACATGGACGTGGACGTGGACGTGGACATAGACGTGGACGTAGACGTGGACGTGGACGTGGAAGTGGACGTGGACGTGGACGTGGACATGGACGTGGAGATGGACGTGGACGTGGACGTGGACTTGGACGTGGACGTGGACGTGGACGTGGACGTGGACGGGGTCATGGACGTGGACATGGACGTGGACGGAGACGTGGACGCGGACATGGACGTGGACATGGACCTGGACCTGGACATGGACATGGACATGGACATGGACGTGGACATGGACGTGGACATGGACGTGGACGCGGACGTGGACGTGGACATGGACGTGGACGTGGACATGGACGTGGATGTGGACGTGGACGTGGACATGGACGTGGACATGGACGTGGAGGACTTGGACGTGGACATGGACGTGGACGTGGATATGGAGGTGGACATGGACGTGGACGTGGACATGGATGTGGACGTGGACGTAGACGTGGACGTGGACGTGGACGTGGACGTGGACGTGGACGTGGACGTGGACGTGGACGTAGACGTGGACGTGGACGTGGACATGGACGTGGATGTGGACGTGGACGTGGACGTGTACGTGGACATGGACGTGGACGTGGACGTGTGGACGTGGACGTGGACGTGGACATGGACGTGGACGTGGTCGTGAACCTGGACGTGGTCGTGGACGTGGACGTGGACGTGGACGTGGTCGTGGACGTGGTCGTGGACGTGGACATGGACGTGGACATGAACGTGGACGTGGACGTGGACGTGGACGTAGACGTGGACGTGGACGTGGACGTGGACATGGACGTGGACGTGACGTGGACGTGGACATGGACGTGGACATGGAGGTGGACGTGGACGTGGACGTGGAGGTGGACGTGGACGTAGACGTGGACGTGGACATGGACGTGGACGTCGTGGACGTGGACATGGACGTGGACATGGACGTGGACATGGACGTGGACGTAGACATGGACGTGGACATGGAGGTGGACGTGGACGTGGACGTGGAGGTGGACGTGGACGTGGACATGGACGTGGACGTGGACATGGACGTGGACTTGGACGTGGACATGGACGTGGACGTGGACGTGGAGGACATGGACGTGGACATGGACGTGGACGTGGACGTGGACGTGGACATGGACGTGGACTTGGACGTGGACATGGACGTGGACATGGACTTTGACGTGGACGTGGACGTGGACGTGGACATGGACGTGGACATGAACGTGGACATGAACGTGGATGTGGACGTGGACATGGACGTGGACGTGGACGTGGACGGGGACGTGGACGTGGACGTGGACGTGGACGTGGACGTGGACGTGGACATGGACGTGGACGTGGACGTGGACGTGGACGTGGACGTGGACATGGACGTGGACGTGGACGTGGACATGGACGTGGACATGACGTGGATGTGGACGTGGACATGGACGTGGACGTGGACGGGGACGTGGACGTGGACGTGGACGTGGACGTGGACGTGGACATGGACGTGGACGTGGACGTGGACGTGGACGTGAACGTGGACATGGACGTGGACATGGACGTGGACGTGGACATGGACGTGGACATGGACATGGACGTGGACATGGACATGGACGTGGACATGGACGTGGACATGGACGTGGACATGGACATGGACGTGGACATGGACATGGACGTGGACGTGGACGTGGACATGGACATGGACGTGGACGTGGACATCGACGTGGACGTGGACGTGGACATGGACATGGACGTGGACGTGGACATGGACATGGACGTGGACGTGGACATGGACGTGGACATGGACGTGGACATGGACATGGACGTGGACATGGACATGGACGTGGACATGGACGTGGACATGGACATGGACGTGGACATGGACGTGGACATGGACACGGACGTGGACATGGACATGGACGTGGACATGGACATAGACGTGGACATGGACGTGGACATGGACATGGACGTGGACATGGACATGGACGTGGACGTGGACGTGGACATGGACATGGACGTGGACGTGGACATGGATGTGGACATGGACGTGGACGTGGACGTGGACGTGGACGTGGACATGGACGTGGACGTGGACGTGGACGTGGACGTGGACATGGACGTGGACGTGGACGTGGACATGGACGTGGACGTGGACGTGGAGGACTTGGTTGGACGTGGACGTGGACGTAGACGTGGACGTGGACATGGACGTGGACGTGGATATGGACGTGGACGTGGACGTGGACGTGGACATGGACGTGGACGTGGACGTGGACATGGAAGTGGACGTGGACGTGGACGTGGACATGGACGTGGACGTGGACTTGGACGTGGACGTGGACGTGGACGTGGACATGGACGGACACGTGGACGTGGACATGGACGTGGACGTGGACATGGACGTGGACGTGGACGTGGACGTGGACATGGACGTGGACATGGACGTGGACGTGGACATGGACGTGGACGTGGACGTGGACGTGGACGTGGACATGGACGTGGACGTGGACATGGACGTGGACGTGGACGTGGACTGGACGTGGACGTGGACGTGGACGACTTGGACGTGGACATGGACGTGGACGTGGACGTGGACGTGGATATCGACGTGGACGTGGACGTGGACGTGGACATGGACGTGGACGTGGACATGGACGTGGACCTGGACATGGACGTGGACGTGGACGTGGACGTGGACGTGGAGGACGTGGATATGGACGTGGACGTGGACGTGGACGTGGACGTGGACGTGGACATGGACGTGGACATGGACGTGGACGTGGACGTGGACATGGACGTGGACGTGGACGTGGACATGGACGTGGACGTGGACGTGGACGTGGACATGGACGTGGACGTGGACGTGGACGTGGACATGGACGTGGACGTGGATGGA